ACGTCGAGTGTGGATCAACAGACTGTGCCTCCCGCAATTCGGTGATTCATTGCAGACACACATATTACACACACACACACATTCATATATATATACATACATACATATATATATATATATATATATATATATATATATATATATATATATATATATATACATATATATATATGTGTGTGTGTGTGTGTGTGTGTGTGTGTGTGTGTGTGTGTGTGTGTGTGTGTGTGTGTGTGTGTGTGTGTGTGTGTGTGTGTACATACATATATACATATAAATGCATACATACATATATTTACATATACATACAGAAATATATGCATACATATATGTGTTTGTGTGTGTGTGTATAAATACACATACATACACACACACGTATGCACATATGTGTGTATGTATGTATGTATATACATTCATAAACACACATATACAAACCCATATACATATATATATATATATGCATATACACACAGATACATATGTATATACACACACATACATACATGTGTGCGTGTGCGTGTGTGTGTGTATGTTTGTGTGTGTATGTGTGTGTGTGTGTGTGTGTGTGTGTGTGTGTGTGTGTGTGTGTGTGTGTGTGTGTGTGTGTGTGTGTGTGTGTGTGTGTGTGTTATTCTTACCCCAATATAATGGAAACAGCAGTAGTATAATCCTGACTGATGGTGTAATGATATAGTACCTTTGGAGTATACTGATTTGACTTTGGAGTATACTGATCTCATATTTGGAGTATACTGATTTGACTTTGGAGTATACTGATTTGACTTTGGAGTATACTGATTTGACTTTGGAGTATACTGATTTGACTTTGGAGTATACTGATTTGACTTTGGAGTATACTGATTTGACTTTGGAGTATACTGATTTGACTTTGGAGTATACTGATTTGACTTTGGAGTATACTGATTTGACTTTGGAGTATACTGATTTGACTTTGGAGTATACTGATTTGACTTTGGAGTATACTGATTTGACTTTGGAGTATACTGATTTGACTTTGGAGTATACTGATTTGACTTTGGAGTATACTGATTTGACTTTGGAGTATACTGATTTGACTTTGGAGTATACTGATTTGACTTTGGAGTATACTGATTTGACTTTGGAGTATACTGATTTGACTTTGGAGTATACTGATTTGACTTTGGAGTATACTGATTTGACTTTGGAGTATACTGATTTGACTTTGGAGTATACTGATTTGACTTTGGAGTATACTGATTTGACTTTGGAGTATACTGATTTGACTTTGGAGTATACTGATTTGACTTTGGAGTATACTGATTTGACTTTGGAGTATACTGATTTGACTTTGGAGTATACTGATTTGACTTTGGAGTATACTGATTTGACTTTGGAGTATACTGATTTGACTTTGGAGTATACTGATTTGACTTTGGAGTATACTGATTTGACTTTGGAGTATACTGATTTGACTTTGGAGTATACTGATTTGACTTTGGAGTATACTGATTTGACTTTGGAGTATACTGATTTGACTTTGGAGTATACTGATTTGACTTTGGAGTATACTGATTTGACTTTGGAGTATACTGATTTGACTTTGGAGTATACTGATTTGACTTTGGAGTATACTGATTTGACTTTGGAGTATACTGATTTGACTTTGGAGTATACTGATTTGACTTTGGAGTATACTGATTTGACTTTGGAGTATACTGATTTGACTTTGGAGTATACTGATTTGACTTTGGAGTATACTGATTTGACTTTGGAGTATACTGATTTGACTTTGGAGTATACTGATTTGACTTTGGAGTATACTGATTTGACTTTGGAGTATACTGATTTGACTTTGGAGTATACTGATTTGACTTTGGAGTATACTGATTTGACTTTGGAGTATACTGATTTGACTTTGGAGTATACTGATTTGACTTTGGAGTATACTGATTTGACTTTGGAGTATACTGATTTGACTTTGGAGTATACTGATTTGACTTTGGAGTATACTGATTTGACTTTGGAGTATACTGATTTGACTTTGGAGTATACTGATTTGACTTTGGAGTATACTGATTTGACTTTGGAGTATACTGATTTGACTTTGGAGTATACTGATTTGACTTTGGAGTATACTGATTTGACTTTGGAGTATACTGATTTGACTTTGGAGTATACTGATTTGACTTTGGAGTATACTGATTTGACTTTGGAGTATACTGATTTGACTTTGGAGTATACTGATTTGACTTTGGAGTATACTGATCTCATATTTGTTCCCATTAAGCTGGTAATTATTGCAGTATGCGTGGAGGGCTTCACTAGACTGCTACTGAACATGTATGAGCTACTTAGAATCTCGCGTATATGATAAAGTAACAAAACGAAAAGACCTTTGGTTTTATTTACAATGTCAGTCATGAAATACACTGTATATATATATTAAGAAAACATGTAAGTATTATGATCACTAATAACGAAGCAAGAAGAAGAAAGCGAACTCAACTCACCCATCTTGCTGCCCACTGTCAGCATCTGGCACCCGAGCAGAGGACTCAGGTCCGGGGGATACGAAGGTTCGGGCCTGACGCTGACGTAGCGGGTTGGGGGGAGGGCCGGCGGGGGCGCAGGCTGGAAGTTGTAGGACTCCTCGGCGGGCGGCGAGGAGGGCAGGAAGCCGTTCGAAGCGTCGGGGACCCCGAACACGGCCTCGTTGTAGCTCGGAGGAGGGTCTCGTATCGCGTGGTCTTTCGACATGGCTGGAAGGAGGCGTAAAAGACGGAGTCAAAAAGCTTGAAACTACGTTATTTTACATTACTTATACATATTCATCTATATGCTTATATATAATGCGTATCTACAGCTTCTCATATGTCTGTATATATGCCTGTATTTAGTGCTCCCCTCCCTCCGTCAAAAATTGTTTTCTGCGCACCCCTCCCCCCCACCCGCCCCTTCCCGATGGCTCTTGTAAACTTAACGATAAAACTGAGTGTGTATTTAACTCCAAGAGCCCAGGCACTACTTAAGGATGCTTTCACGCACTATCGTTTTGCGCCTTGAAGAAAGTAGTTGAAGCCACGGGCACCTTAACACTCGTATTCTGGCATAAGTTTGGAGTTTGTTTTATCGCCTACAAAACTTACTCTAGGAAAACTTCAGTAACAGGGACGTCAACGACTGCTCTAAGTATATTTCCATCCGCCAATTTCGTAGGAATTTTAACTGTTTTTAATGATTTGTAACAACTTAAATACTTGATTTTTTATATATATAAATCTTTGGATATAGAACTAACGACTAAATACAAGCTCAACTATATTTCATAGCAACAATCAATGCAACAGTACATCAGTACAGATCACAGTCTCATAAAAAGTGTCATTCACCTGTTGACACCTAAACGTAATACAGCTATATTTTAACTGTCTTCTGTGACTTTCCACCACTAGCATGAATCATGCTTATCCCCTCGAATATACACAAACGCGCGTGCTCGTGTGCGTACATACATACAAACGTATTCTCTCTCTAATATATATATATTATATATATATTATATATATATATATATATATATATATATGTATGTGTGTGTGTGTGTGTGTGTGTGTGTGTGTGTGTGTGTGTGTGTGTGTGTGTGTGTGTGTGTGTGTGTGTGTGTGTACCCCCACCCCCCCACACACACACATGCATACACATACATACTCCCTGAGCGTGCATCTTTGTTTATAACATTACACTATGTCCATATTTTTCCAACACTGACTCAGATGTTGGAAAAAAAGAACAGCAGATAAGAGAGAGAACCCCTGAAGTCAGCCACGTTCGCCCGCCTTCTTCGTGAAGTTTTTCGTCATCCCTCTAGCAAACGAGAACTGAACAAGTGACGCAACACCGAGCACATGCGTTTGATTTTCTTCGTGTTTCAACTCCGGAGCGGACAGCCACTACCCCGACAGGATGCAAGAGTTAGGGAAAAGGTGAGGAGGAAGTGTTCTTGCAACTCGACGTCCCCTCTGCGATCTCCTTTTTACAGGAGCCATACACGAGAAATTATAGCATCTGATCACTTAATTGTATTGTATATATAATGAGGATAATAACAGGGTTGTAACTGTTGACGTAGCAGAATCATATGGCACTTCTGACGACGTGACATTATTATATGACACTCTTGACAACGCGGCTGTATCATATGGCGCTTCGGACACTAAACCTACACAGTTCCCACGGCACTTATAATACTCATCTTCACCCGGTACACTAAGGTCGTCACTCACCTATGTGTGCGTAGGAAAACTCCTCTTCCTGCCTATTAGTAAAAGACGTTCCAACTAACAAAGTGTTTGCTTATCTGAAGGAAAAGGCGTTGTGGTGTAAATACCTTGGAATTCCCATGGATTACAAAATCTACTTCCTATGAATGCTTATAGTGCTACATGACTTTGATGTTTAGCACATTTAATTGTTTTAACTATCAACCATCCTTTAAATACTTGCATAACAAAATAGGGTTAATACGATATGAACAGTAATTTCGAAGTTACAAATATATTATGATGGAATTGACACGGGAATTATTCATTTTTTTCCGTTTCTTCCTGGATGACTAATTCACGAACTGTATCAGGTAATATCTTCGGTTATCAACATCTGATGAGGACTCTATCTTATCTTCGTGCAGTCACGTTACAACTAAGGCAGATCAATTAAGAGTGATTTTCTGCTCCAAGATGTCTTTTAAATTGAAAGATTTACATTCTCTAAACGAGGTAAATAATTTAGCTAAAGACTGTACCAATCATTTCCTCTTTGTGTTCGGTGAAGTGGGTCAGCAAACTGCACACTGCACAAAAAGTCCATTCAATATTATTCATTTTGATATATACTGTCACTGTTTCTATACAGTGTGATATGACATTTAATAATAATAATAATAATACAGTAATAATTCCCGTTTTCATAGCTCTCCTTTCACATTCCATTGAGATATGAGTTTTATAAAAGAAAACGAAAAC